CCATGGTGTCTGCAAGGTTCTCATCGCCGGAGCCGACGGGGAGGCCAGCCCAAGGCGGAAGGCTCGGACTTGTCCCCGGCTGACCGCCGCTCTTTCGACGGAAGAGTCGGGACCGAATCAGTGGGCGATCCCTCCCCCTCCGAGAAGGTTCGCAAGGGATCCGCCGGGTGGCTTCTGTCTGTCCGTCCGTCCGTCCGTCTCGGCCGATGGAGGTACTGGCGTGGCTGTGGCTGGGCTTCTTCGCCCGGGCGGCGGGGCTGCCGGGCTCCCCCTGCGAGCCGGTGCGCATCCCCATGTGCCGGCACATGCCCTGGAACATCACGCGGATGCCCAACCACCTCCACCACAGCACCCAGGAGAACGCCGTCCTGGCCATCGAGCAGTACCAGGAGCTGGTGGAGGCGGCCTGCAGCCCCGTGCTCAGCTTCTTCCTCTGCGCCATGTACGCGCCCATCTGCACCCTCGAGTTCCTCCACGACCCCATCAAGCCCTGCAAGTCGCTCTGCCAGCGGGCCCGCGACGGCTGCGAGCCCCTCATGCGGCGCTACAACCACAGCTGGCCCGAGGCCTTGGCCTGCGAGGACCTGCCCGTCTACGACCGGGGGGTCTGCATCGCCCCCGAGGCCATCGTCACCGACCTGCCCGAGGGTGAGTCGGGAAGCAAAGCGCCGCTGCCACCCCGGGGGCGGGGGGAGAGGCTCCCTTCGGAAGAGAGCCGGGCCGGGCGGGCGGAGCGGGGGACTCCGGTCCGAGGCTCCAACCGGGAGCCGCGCGGCGGGGATAATGATGCCTCGCAGTACCGGGGAGAGCGAGGCTGCGCTGGGAAGCCCCCCTCCCGGGGCGGCCGGTGCCTCCGCACTTGGACGGCTGGCTCCTGGCTTTCCCGTGGCCCTCCTTCCCTCCTGTTCCGAGACGCCCGTCCTAAGAGGCCGGGCCCCGCGAGGAGAGCCCGCCGGGCAGATCCCGCTCTGCCCAGAAGACGGTCCCGCCTCGAGCCGTCCGGGACGCGGCCCTCCTCGGGGCATTCGCGGCGGGGTGTGTGTGCAGGGGCTGCGCGCTGCCCGCCGTCGAGCCCCGGGGGATCGGCGGCTCTCGGCGCTGCGCCGCCTGTGGGGCTCCAAAAGCGAGAAGAAATCCCCGGCCGTGTCGCTGGACTGAATGACCGGGTCCCGCTTAGATCCCCGACCCCTCTCCTTCCAGTCTCGTGGTTCCAATCCGAAGCTCAGATGTCCCTCTCTCTGTGTTTGTGTTTTCTCTCCTTAAGACGAGGTCAAGTGGATCGACCTGTCCGACGACGTGATGGTCCAGGAGAGACCTCTGCTTGCTGAATGCAAGAACTCCAGCCCGGGTGAGTCGTCTGAACCCCCTTCCCTGAAGCGTTAGAGCGTTTCTTCCTTCGGATCTCCCGACAACTTTCATATCTTATCCTGTTTGTCCTTTCTGTTGTTGTCGTTTTCTCAAAATAAAGCTCGCTGCAAGTGTAAGAAAGTGAAGCCGACGATTATGACGTATCTCGACAAAAACTACAGTTACGGTAAGCACCTATTTTAAACATATCATAGGAAATTATACTACGTCGAGCATTGTAACTGTCGAGTGACTCTTCTTACTTCTTGATCGTGATCACTCTGTAAACTTCTTCGTCTTACCGTCTTTGCGCGCTGAGGATGCGCGCTTCAGCCGCGGTGAAACCCGACAGGTTGATTATCTCCCCTGAAAGTCAGAGGGTCGAAACAGCAGGAACATAACGCTGAGGAGCTAATGCTTTTTCTTCTTCTTTGCCCTAGATTATGAGAAAGTGAAGCTGACTTATTATTTCCCCTCTCACCTTCTAACTAGCGATGGTTGGGAAGGGTTTGTTTTATTTTGTTTGATCTGGTTGATACTGACCTTTCTTAAGTTCTACTTTGTGGGCCAAAGAGGGGAAATGACAGAGGTTATTTTATTTCTTAGATTTAAAAAAAAACTAATGATGCACTTAAGTAACATCAAACCCCCTGTCCAAACATTTTTGAAGCAATAAAAAATAAGACAGTGTGTTGTTCAAATAATATTTTTTAAACAAGAGAAATAAGCCTCCTAAAATCTCCTTAAGAGTACTGACCTGAATATTTGGCGGCTGTATTGACTGCATATTTATTTGGTACTAAGTTTATATTGAACAATGGTCTTTACTTCTGAGCAAACTAGTAAGGACTCAAAGTAAAAGTCCTATTCATTGGAAAGGACTTAGAACCCCGAAATAACTGTATTTATTTGGAACTATTACCAATCACATTAGGACTAATTTCCTAGTAAGTATTCAGAGTATTGCAGAAGTGTATCCAAAACCTCTACATGTTTGCTCAGGTGTGAGTCCCATTCCATTCAGTGGAGCTTTTTCCAATAGATCCCAAAGAACTGCAGCTTCTTACACTCTAAATGCCCCTCCATATGTTTTATGACTTGATATGATGACTCTGGGTCAGTAAGTTCTATTAAAATCTGCTGACTTCTAACTAAAGTGCATTTTCAGTAAGTGTTTTGTTGAAATCAACAGTAGAATGAGAGTGAATCTTTAAAATGCAAACTATTATACACATTTAGATGATTTATTTATTTATTTAAAATGTTTATTTAAAATATTTTATCCTGCCTTTCTCCTTAAAAGGATCCATCCTCTTAGCAAGGAATTTTAAAACAGAGGTTATTATTGATTTTGCCACGTGGTTTTATAGTTGAAAAAGAATGGGCTTTATCTGAATGGTTAGCTACATATGGGTTTTGCTGGAACTTGTAGGTTAAATTGATAATGATCAATGATTTTGTCCAGGGAAATAAGATTTGGTTTGGTACTAAATAAATATTGACCCGGAAGGATGCAGATGTAGTCATGCTCAGAGGAGATTTGTTGCAAGCAAAGGGTTTTGTTTTATATAGTATCCCAAAGAGACAGCCTTTTTTGCACATATAAAAGAAGCCACATTGCTTGTCTGGAGAGTCACTATCCTTAGTGGAATGCATGGGAAGAAGGGAAAAGAATAGGATGAAAAAGGAGACGTGATGGGGGGTTAACAATATTGAGGCCAATAATGCTGGTACTGTTGTTCTCACTCATATATAATTTTCTACTGTTCCAAGCACAGTGATAAACACATCAATTAACAAAATAAATGTTGGTCATTTATTATTTATTATTTCAGCTTATATACCACCCCACAGTGCATGTACTCCCTAGGTTGTTTGCAACACATTAAAATAACATTATTATAAATGAAACCAAGTGCCTTGCAATAAATACCATACAACAGAATAAAATCCTGTCCCTAGTTAAAACCTACCTTAAATACATTAATCAAATCAAGCATATTTGAGCATCTCAGGTGGTAAGGCATTATAAAAGATAACTTTAAACAATGTTGTTTTTACTAATTTCTTAAAAACTGTGAGAGAAGGTGCCTGACAAACCTCTGTTGGAAGCTTGTTTCAGAAGAAAGGGACTACAACCCAGAAAGTGTGGTTTGTGGTGTTAACTTTTTTGGCCTCCTTAGGTGTCACCATTTCTAGAATCATGGGCTGTGAGGAGTGAGCAGGATGGGTAGCTGTTTTGTGGGAGGGTGTTCAGTGAGACCTACTCTCAGATAAAGTGGCTTTAGTACTGCAGCATTTGTTTTCAAAGTCTTGTTTCAGAGGAAAGGGACTACAACCCAGAAAGTGTGGTTTGTGGTGTTAACTTTTTTGGCCTCCTTAGGTGTCACCATTTCTAGAATCATGGGCTGTGAGGAGTGAGCAGGATGGGTAGCTGTTTTGTGGGAGGGTGTTCAGTGAGACCTACTCTCAGATAAAGTGGCTTTAGTACTGCAGCATTTGTTTTCAAAGATGATAATGGTGGAAATCCCGTACTATGCTAAAGTAAGTCACATTCCAGAGCAACCTGTTTGAAGCATGCGATGTATGCCAAACATATAGGAATCCAAAGTCAGAGCAAAAGAACTACATTTTAAGTGCCTCTTTTAAGGAGTCAGCTGACTGGATAGCCCAGGGAGTTGGGTACCAGGCAAGGTTGGGGGTTCAGTTCTCTACTGTGCCTTCTTTGGATGGTAGATTCCTTAGTAGGCCCTCATTTCTTGTTCTCAGTTTTCAGGGCAAGTGAGAGACACACAGCAGCAGGAAGTCCCTCCAATATTGCGACTCAGTAAAAGTCAAAAGCAACCCCAGAAATTTCGCCCAGAAAGCCTTTGTCAGCCCTATTTTCCCATCTTTCTCACTGGGATGAGGGGTAAACATTGATTTGTGAACAGAAGCTTGCAACTTTAAGTTACACCCCAATATAAGAAATTTCAGGGGCTCTAGTTACAGGCTGTAGTAAGAGCACAGGTGTGGAGCGAGTCCCACAGTTCAAGGGGGCTGATTCTCCAGCAAGTGTGCTGTGTAGTAAACGGCTTGTTTCTGAAAAACATGTACCAAATAAGGAAGTTTGTTTCTTCAAAATCTTTCCTCATGGTGGGAAAGATTCACTGAACACTCAACATCTTTACTCATCCATCTACCTTTACCCTACATGTTGCAGTTATTCATGCTAAAGTAAAGAGTTTGGAGAGAGGAAACTGCAATGAAATAATCACAATGGTCGACGTGAAGGAAGTGTTGAAATCTTCCACTCCAGTCCCCCGTTCGCTAGTTCCTCTGTATACCAATTCCTCCTGCCAGTGCCCACCTCTTCTACCAAATCAGGACGTCCTCATTATGTGTTATGAATGGCACTCAAGGTAAGCAAACATATTGTCTTCAGAACGCTACAGTAGATTTTTGTGTCATGAATATTTTCTTCCAGAATATGGAGAGAGTGTAGCACAATCGCTAGAGTGTTCAAATCTCTGCTCAGTCATGAAGCCTAGGGAGTTGGGTCATGCATTACCATTCTATTGTAAGGGTGGATGATACCTTTTATTGGACCACTGAAAAATCATACAGATTCTAAGCTTTTGTGAATAAAATGCCGCTTCTTCAGGCTTAGCAGAACCCCTTCATGGATAGTGCAAATAAATTGTAGACAAGAGTCCAGACATCGATGGGACATGTCTGAAAGGTGATCCCAGTTCTCTCGAGGCTGTCGTGTCAGGCATCCACGCAACATGGTTTGGAATTTTTACACCCTTCCTCCGTTGATCTTTTAAGAACAAAAAGCTGCTAGTTACTCTATGACTGCCCCACCCCACCGCAAACACATACATTGCCTGCTCTGAAACAACAGAAAGTTTCTTTTTATCTTGTGTGGGTGGAGAAGGGGCAGCGTAAAGATACAGTAGTATCCAGCCCAAGTAGCATTCAATTCATCCTGCCAGTGGCTGTTGCCATATGCTCCCATGAGCTCCTTAGAGAAAGAGTGAGGTGGAAATATGATTAGCAATAATAAACAAGAACTTCACAAAATTATTGAAGTGTGGAAGTCTCTTGTTCAAGGCGCTTTGTTGCATGTCAGACAGTACAGTGGTGCCTCGCTGGATGAGGATAATTCGTTCCGTTCAAATTGCTGTTAAGCGAAATCCTCATCAAGCGAAATGAAAAAGCCCATTGAAATGCATTGAAAACCAGTTCAATGCATTCCAATGGGCGAAATACCTTAGTGTCCAGCGAAGATCCTCCATAGGGCGGCCATTTTTCAGTGCCTGTAATGCAAGGAATCTGTCCTAAAGCACAGCGGGGAGCCATTTTGCACAGTGGGTGGCCATTTTGAAACCTGACAATCAACTGTTTTTGATCATCGTTAAGTGAAAAATCGGTTCCAAAAGCAGGGAACCAATCAACGTTAAGCGAAAAAAGCCCATTCAATCATTGTTTAGTGATCGCAATAGCGATCACAAAAAACTAATCGTCAAGCGATTTCCTCATCTAACGAGGTAATCGTCAAGCAAGGCACCACTATATTCTTTATTTGTTCAGCATACACAACTTTCATTTGGTTTTGAACCCTTCTCTAAGCGTTTCCCACTGCACAAGTTTGGTATTTCTGCAAACTTTGTACTTCCTCAGATCTTTCTAGTCACTCCCTCTTGTACAGGGGAAGGGTGATGCCAAATAAACTGAGAGCATTGCCAGTCTGTACAAGTCCTGCAACAAGATGCTGTAGCTTGATGTGCTCTTCAGAACACTCCGTTCCATTGCCCTCTCTCTTGGTTTTCTGTTCCCCTCCTTTCAGCCAGTTAGACTTCTGTGCTCACTGAGCATTCTCTGGCATAAAATCCAAGATTTGGGTGGGGTTTTCCTCTCTGCTCCTTTTCTTTCCTTGTTTTTATTTGTACAAGTCTTTTGTTTCTTACGGCCTGTTTACACTTTCTTTGTGTAAGTAGGTGATTCCATATAGACTACATAACTAACTGAGTTTGGCAAATTAAATGCACCATGAGTGTCAGGGAGTTTTAGGATGGAGAAGCTGAGCTCCCTCTGCCCCCCGCCTCCCCGAACGGGCTAAGACTGCTGTGTAGCTAAGCCCTTTGAAGGAATTAACAACCAGCCATGTATTAAAATAGTCAAGCAGAGGAGAAGGGAAAAATATTGTTGTGGTTTATCCCTCTAGAAGTAACTGGGCTTACAGTAGGTCCTATGCGTGCTTACTTGGAATTAAGCCCAATTAACACAGTCAGAGAGGAGCTCTGCTCTTATGAAGTGTTTTACTGTCCCTCAAAATACATCTCAAATGTAGCTGTCACTGTCATGGCGGGAGGAAATGTGTCTTGCCAATAAGTGGCACTAGAAAACACCCACCTTCTTTAGGAGTTGTTTCATAGAGCCAAACCAGGGCTTACTTTCTGGAGCCGGGGGGGGAGGAGGGGGGATGGCTCTGTATCAGCAATATCTATTATGTGTGCTTGAGCTCAACTTGAATATGGGAATGCAGGGAATACTTATCAGATTTGTGGATGACACAAAATTGGGTAGAATAGCTTGTACCTTGCAAGGCAGGAACAAAATTCAAAAATATCTGGATAGTCTCAAGCACTGGGCTGAAAACAACAGGATGAAATTCAGCAGGGATAAGTGAAAAGTTCCTATGGAAAAAACCCAAATGTACAGTTATAAGATGGGGGGGGTACTTGGCTCAGTAGTATTATGAGTGAGAAGGATCTTGGAGTAATTGCAGATCAGAAGCTGAATATGAGCCAACAAGGAGATGGGTCTGCAAAAAAGGCAAATTTGATTTTGGGATACATTAACAGAAGCATGATCTCCAAATCCCATGTTCAGCACTAGTTAGGCCTCATTTAGAGTACTGTGTCCAGTTGTGGACATCACACTTTAAGAAGGATGCCAGCAAACTGGAGCAAGTTCAGAGGAGGGCAACGAGGATGATCAGGGGACTGGAAACCAAGCCCTATAAGTAAAGACTGAAATAATTTGATATGTTTAGCCTTGAGAAAAGCAGAGAGCAGGCAGATATGATGGCACTTTTCAAATACTGTACTTGAAAGGCTGTCATTCAGAGGAGGGGCAGGATCTCTTCTCAGTCATCCCAGAGTGCAGGACACGCAACAATGGGCTCAAGTTACAGGAAGTTAGATTTAGGTTGAATGTTAGGAAAAATGTTGGAGCAGTATGACAGTGGAACCAATTACCTCTAGAGGTGTTGAGCACTGCAACACTGGAGGCCTTCAAGAGAAAATTGGACTGTCATCTGCCAGATCTGCTCTGGATTCCTGCACTGAGCAGGGGGTTGGGCTTGATGGTCTTATAGGCCCCTTCCAACTCAATTATTCTATGATCCTAAGTGAGGAACAAAGCGTACGACATGAGGATTCAGAGCCATCAATGAGAAACATCCATAAATGTGTTGTTTTACTGTAGCATGTGTTTGCGCTCTGCATATGCTCCAGAGCTAGTGTTTTTAATAGACCAGATGGGCGGGATATAAATCATTTGATATGTTTAACCCTGAGAAAAGCAGAAAGCAGGCAGATATGATAGCACTTTTCAAATACATGAAAGGCTGTCATTCAGAGGAGGGGCAGGATCTCTTCTCAGTCACCCCAGAGTGCAGGACACGCAACAATGGGCTCAAGTTACAGGATTTAGGTTGATTTAGGTTGAATATTAGGAAAAATGTTGGAGCAGTATGACAGTGGAACCAATTACCTCTAGAGGTGTTGAGCACTGCAACACTGGAGGCCTTCAAGAGAAAATTGGTCAGTAATGGAGAACTAATGAAATTGTGGGACCATCTGAATAGTATGTGGTATTTATATTAAGAAGCAGCCCACATTTAGGGACGCATTTCTTTTCCCTTTGTTTATACGCTGCCAGATTTTGATTCAGGATGTTCTAAGTTCTTTTAGGATGTGCTAGATTTCAAGTTTGCGCTGAAGGGGAAGAAGGCAATTTGTTCTTGTTCTTTCCTAAAACCAAGAAATGTTCCTCACCCTTTCCATAAGTTATAATTCTCTTCATTCTAGATTTTCCCCCAAGTACTAGTTTGCTCTGAGAGTTCTTCTAGAACAGTGGTTCCCAATCTTGGGTCCCCAGGCGTTCTTGGACTACAACTCCCAGAAATCCTGAGCAGCACAGCTAGTGGTGAAGGCTTCCGGGAATTTTACTCTAAGAACATCTGGGGACCCGAAGTTGGGAGCCGTTGCTCTAGAAACTCAAATAAATGTTATTAATTCTAGGTGTAGCCAGTATAGATTTGTATAAGGGAAGTATTCTGATGCTGGCTTTTTTCCCCTAAGTCCTGTAATCGTTCTTTAATTTTCACTTTCATTGATTACTACTTCTTACATTTTCATTTTTTTGTTTGTTTCTTCCACTGTTGACACATTTGTGATGTCCATCTTAACAAAATATGAGGAACAAAGCCTACGACATGAGGATTCAGAACCATCAATGAGAAACATCCATAAATGTGGTGTTTTACTGTAGCATGTGTTTGTGCTCTGCATATGCTCCAGAGCTAGTGTCTTTAATAGACCAGATGGGTGGGATATAAATAAACTCTAAGAACATCTGGGGACCCGAAGTTGGGAGCCGTTGCTCTAGAAACTCAAATAAATGTTATTAATTCTAGGTGTAGCCAGTATAGATTTGTATAAGGGAAGTATTCTGATGCTGGCTTTTTTCCCCTAAGTCCTGTAATCGTTCTTTAATTTTCACTTTCATTGATTACTACTTCTTACATTTTCATTTTTTTGTTTGTTTCTTCCACTGTTGACACATTTGTGATGTCCATCTTAACAAAATTACAGAAAACATGATCAAATGATTCATAAATATCAATCTTGAACCCCACCCCCATCGCTCCCAGAGAAACAGTTCCAGGGGCTCTGATGGTTTCCGTGCCGTATTTATCAGAAAAGGAGACAGATGGACATTAGAATAGAAAGGCTGGCAGAAAATATGGATTAAAAAACCAACAACCCAGCAGAATTTAAATGTCTTTGATTCTGGGTAAATAAAATGAGATTAAATGAAAGAAACATGATAGCAGTTGATCTTGAGGTATTTCAGAATTACAATGCATCCATGTGAACAAAGACTTTAAAAATTATGTTCAGGTCTATGCAAAGATTAGGAGATCTATATTTCATGGAACAAATTTACCAGTAATGTTTCTAAAGGTCATTGAGGTTTTTGTTTTTATTTTGTGTGCTTCATCAAAGGATTTTGGGGGGAAAGACAGCAAAAACAAAATATTATGTTTCTCATTGCATTTGGCTGTATGTAAACAGGGTTTGAGTTACAGTGGTTTTTAAAAATGTCAGAAGTAATGGTCTCTTCCTTGGAAAAGTACTGGAAGAAATACCACGTTCTTGTTTCTATCACAATTACCCATTTTTCTAATTATATTGTGGGCCTTCATCTTGCATTAAAGGACATGGAAATCTTGCACTGAATTAGGGCAATTACAGCAAAAGGTCATCACAAATGCTCAATGTCATGCAGTATTGGGTCCAACATACATATAGGGATGTATGCATGTCTTGTAAGCAGTTTGTAATAATTTCTTCTCTGTTGAATACAACAGCAACAGACTGAGATACAAAAGTCATGCTTTCCAGGTCATGGACCAATTTGACAGGAAGCATGGAATCCTAAATGAACTCTGTGTGGGCAAGTAACTTGGAAGATAAAACCATGTGATTTTACTTTAGTTGTGGTAGGAATGTGATGAGTACTTGCAGTTTTCCTTGTTCTTGGCGATATTGTGAGTCTTATAATGCTGAGACTCCCCCCGCACATGTGTGAGATTTCCCAGCTTGCAGCAAAAATGACACCTTCATTTTGTTTCTCTTTTATTTTTTTCAATTTTTGCCTGTTCTTCTGTGCAGGAAATGACCAAACATTGTACACCTTAATATTCTGCCTGGCAAATACAGCTGCAGGAAAAAACACCATTCTTCACAGGAATTCTAACAATCCTGCACAGCCTTGTATTTCTTCTGCCCTTTCAAGATGAATCCTGTGCAGGAAATATGCCATTCTGTGCAGGAATTATAATTATAATTATCCTGTGCAGGTTGACATTTTATCCAAAAAACCCCAGATAGTTGCAAGAAATACCACATTTCCTATGAGATTTCTTAGGAAAAAAGTCACACTTGAGGAGAAAAGAATGCCTCTCAGTTTGTCTGTGAGAACAAGAGGCTGTGAGATTCATTTCCTTAAGCTGTGGTAACTTTTACTGGACACAGACACTTAAAAAGGAGAGAAGGATGTTGTCTGTGATGAAGTACAGATGTTGGAAAATGCCACAAAACTTGGGTCTTTGGCTGGATCATGTGGATTCATTTTAAATGTGGCTCGAGATAGTTTTGAGAGTCAAGTCCAACATTTATCTCCAAGGAATACCGTTACTATTGCCTCAGTTTGAGGTCTAATGCAGATCTATTTTTCTGAATTTTAGCAGATATGAAATTAATCAGTTTACTCCAAACTTTCTTCTGGAACAGACATGGGGAAGGAGATGGGTAATCTTGAATACAGCAAATATGTAAAATAAACATTGGTCAATTTATGACATACTATATGTCTATAAATATATATAATATAACATAGATAAATAAATGAGATCCTGGAATTAATGTGAAAACAAAGAGACTTGCATTAGTTAAACTATAAAAATGTTGAAATTTTTTATATACTCTCCCATTTTGTGGGGGGGGGCTGCACCTGTTAGAGTGAAAAATGATTAGATAAAATTAAGCGAACAATTCTAAGCTTCCTCTGAGGCATCCCAGAAACATAAGCTGTTGAATCTGCAACATCCAAAGCCTGCTTGTTTCCCAGCATGTTCTGAAGCATCCTAGAACCTCATTAGCCCTGTACGGAGTTGGGAAAAGTTACTATTTTGGACTAAAGCATCGTGACCATGGTGTCTGTAGAATTCTGGGAGGTAGAGTCCCACAGTACAATTTTTTCCAGGTCCTGTAGTTTATCTCACCTGCCTTAATATATGTATGGTTATTTAAAGGGGTGCAGCAGTTATGAGACTGAAAGAAGCCATCTTCTTTTCACCACTTCTGGCTGTAATGACCCAGAAGGGCACAGGATTCTCCTTTCTGCCTTCCATAGGATGGTTCTGTATATCAAATGTTATGGCACAGGCGCAACCAAAGTTGCTTAGGTCCCATTGATCTGAGTGAAACAGACTTTGGTTACATTCTATTCAGGTGTAAATTTCAGTAAGTTCAGTGAATTTTTTTCTAGCTATGTGGGATTAGGGTAGCAGCATGAGACACATCTCTCCCATTGATATCAGTAGATTATCAAAGTACTGTACTTAATCCTGACTGGAGCGCGTCCTTGTCTTTTATATTGCATTCTGTTATTAGGAAATCAACTATAAATGTCTTTGTGCCCTACTTGTTTCTACCATTATTTCAGGTTGATGCTTCTCGATGGTTGTTCTGTTGAAAAATGGAAGGATCCTTTAAGCAAAAGATTTAAGGTGAGTACATTTAATAACACTTCTAAAATATGTTTCCCTTTCAGTGGTCTAAAAAGATAAGTTGGTTGGTAGTCAGTAGTGAGATGAGCAGATACACAATGCAGAAGAACATGCTATATTTCCAACAAAACCTTTTGCCACTGAACTTAATACCACAAAGAAAGTGATTATGAGAATTTTGGCAAACATTTTAATCACTGGGTATGGCTATTATTGTGGCCAGCCATTGAGTACATGTGTATAAGAAGCCATATTGAACAGCAAATTAACATAAACTGCCACATTATATAAACACGCTGCTATTATATGAACACAAAACTAAGATTTATGCTTTTGCACCACAGGATTTCAGGAGAATGTATTGCAAAAACCACATGCTTGGCAGGCTAGTTAAAATCTTTTCAAACTGTTCCAGGGAATTTTTTTTGTGTATTCCACTTTTCATCGTCCTGGAAATTCCCTTTGAGACATTTTTGGTTGTTTTACTGGAAAATGTGGAGAAGCCAGTTTTTCCTTTGAATACGATAGATTGGTGTGTAGAAACAATGTGTACACTGGCATTTTTTTTGCCTTAGTCTAGTGTGAATAGATAGGTTTTGTTCACTCAGTAAAAGGAGTAGATGAAGGTTTGAAAAGGCATGTGTGAGCCCCGACAGCCCCAGTGGCTTCAGTTGGGTTCTCACTGAATAGGAGAGAACAACCATCACTGAACGCACATAACCAGTAGTCAGTGAGTAAAACTCAAAATGGTTTATTAAAATTGGACTGCGAGAAAAGGTAACAAACTATTATATGCAGAGTCAGTTGTCCCAGTTCCTGACACTACCCCTACTCTCTCTCTCTCTCTCTCTGTGCTAGTCCTCCATTCCCTGCTTTTGTTTACCAGGAGGGCTCTTGTCTCTCTGGGAGGGAGCACTCAGTTCCTCTATTCCCTGCTTTTGTTTACCAGGAGGACTCTTGTCTCTCTGGGAGGGAGCACTCAGTTCCCTTCACTGAGCTCCCAGCTCATTTTGTAGGTTCTGTTTTTTGCCAAGCTTCTTTCCCTCAAGGTTGTTGGCAGGTAGAGTGGTATTTTCCCTCCAGTGGCTCCGATCTCACTCCTTGTGGTTGACGGTTGCAAGGTCTCCTTCTCTGCCAGTGACTATTCAAATGGGGAGTGGAATCACTTTACTTCCTCTGTTCCCCTTTTTCTTTTCTCTCCCTCTCTCCTGAATGCAGCCTGTATTTTTATTTGGAGGCCAATCCTTTGGGCACGCTAAACTGGGACCAGACCCTCTGCCAGGGATGCTCCTTGTAGACACAGTTCCAGTCACTCAGGACTACTTGGCCCAGCAGTTGCCAGACCACACTTCTTGTGTCCCCCGGTCCTTGTCTTTTGATGGCCCAGCATCTCCTCTCACAGCCTTCCCAGGTTGGATTTCAGCCTCCTGGGTGATAACATTGGTTGCCCCCTCTGACAGTTCTCTCTTTGTTTGAAGGGTTTCTTCCTCCCCTCTTGCACTGTGTCATGTATCAGCCCTTCTGATGCCAGGGCTCTATTTTTCTGTCTGGCATCAAGACGTCTTCCTCCTCCTTTTCCCAAGGGATAGCTCCTATTTCTCAGATGGGACTACCCTTCTCTGGGTTTCTGCTTTTCTACCATTTCTCCCTTTTCTTCCTGCCATGTTTCTGCTTCTTCATGTAGCAAAATTCCTTATATATCTCTCGTCCATCAGTTCTTGCCAGTTCCTGTCTATCAGCTCCTAGATATCATAGAATCACCTTGGGCTCAGTTTGTGTTCTGATATCTTGGCATGGGCTAGACATTGAGGCCACAGTACCTTGAAAACTTTTGGCAACCACCAATATTTTGAACAATATTTTGACATGTATTACCAGAACTAGCCACTAGATGGAGCCAGAAACCGTGCTATGAATACTTGTTAGTGAATAATGCATAGCATGGTCTCTCAGCCTCTAGATGGGGCCAGAAACCGTGCTATGAATACTTTTTAGTGAATAATGCATAGCATAGTCTCTAGCGCTATCTAGTGGCCAGTTCTGATAATGCATGTGAAAATACTTTATTCTGCTGTTTTCCCTTCTAACATGCTAGATATATAGCATTTGCTATTATCCAGAGTTTTCAGTATCCACAGGAGGGGCTTGGAACCAAACCCCAGTGGATATAGGGGTCCTACAGTACATTGTGTAGAACAGCCTTGTATACTTTGTTCATCCTCAGCTCTACACTATTGCAGCTCCATTACCAGCTGAACAGGTGTATCATCACAATATTAGCAAGTTGTTTGTCACGTATCTTTAAAACTTGGACATATATTTTAAAATCTTGTTTTATTTCTAAATGATTTTTCCTAGAGATGGGAACAGCGACTTCAAGAACAGAAGCTGCGAGCAGTGGCAAATAAAAACCAGAATGCTAAAAACTCTGGTCGCAACGGGGTGCCAAAACAAAACTCTAAGAATGCCAAACCGGTGGTTGCTAGTCCCAAGAAGATCACTAAGCTCAGAAGTGACCAGAAAGAAGTTAATTCCAAAAAAATGTGAATTGCAGACTTCCCCACAACAAAGCTCACCACTTGGCCAGAATGGCATGTGGGCATTTCCTGAAGTCATCAATGTAAACATTTACAAACAGACATTATTTGCATCAATGTATGGTTAAAGGAATACTTTTTCACATTAAGCGACACATATAGTTTAGCCCTACATGTGGTGAGTTGATGAGAATCAATCGATTGAACCTGCATTTTACATTGCCAGTCATAATTTACTAATGCATATGTATTTGGATAGGCTATTCTCTGTGTTAACGTGTTTCAGAAAATTTCCTCTGAAGTTCACTACACACATATTCTCTAGAAGGGGCATCCAGTATTATTTCTCTCTCCATAGTAAACACCATTTTTTGTTGCTGAACTATGTGAATGCTTGTGTAGCAAAGGCATCCTAAATCAAATGCATTTGCAAATTTTTTTCCTTTGGGTCAGCATCTGTTATGAATGTTAACTTTGCACATAGAAATATTAACTCAAGATCAGTACATGCAAAACCAAACCAAATCAAATCCAGTTTGAGAATTTAGAACCTAGGCTTACGTATTTACTGCACGAAGAAGAGATTATTAAAATAGAATTAAACTTTTAAAAGTCCTGAACAGATGTGCTACGAATAGCAAATTCTTTAGGTCATTTTCAAAAACTATTTCTAAAAACTTGAGGGAAGAGAGATTTAGGATTAGCTTAGGATAGAAAAAGTGGTGGGAAATTACCCCAATTAAAAGTGTTTAGGGGCACACATGGATCTCTTTTCCATTTGGGGCATCCTATTCTCTTCAGTTTATGGAACCCCTTAGCAAATCCTGCTAATTAATAACAGGTAAATTTGAACTTGTCCCTTTAATGTTACATCTATTATGTGCCTGAATTAGATTCCCTCTAATGTATGGGATCTAGGAAATGTGTTCAGGCACCAGAATATCCTTGGTCCGTAACTTGTCTCTCTGAACAATTGATTGCAATGCAGAAAAGTATGCAGGAACATTTACAATCATGGGATCTTCTGGTGTCCTTTTTTTTTTAAAAAAAGTGCAGCAGCTCCACTGTATAAATGCCTACATCAAGTGCATTCTGTAAGAAGCTGATCTTCACCCCTGCTGCCACCACATTTGATGCAAGAGTCTGAATGCTGATGTTCATGTCCTGTGATCATGATTCTGTAGCTTTCTACCACAAAGCTAGCCAGGGGTTGCCACTGTACGCTACGAAGTGACTTGTGTTGAGATCCTTCACTTTCTGTATCTGACAACAGAACTCAGTTTTGTGTGTGATTTTCTGGATTGCATCACCATGTGGTTTTTTTTTTACAGTGATTGGAGATATTGAGTTTAATCCCATACAAGAGATCAATATAGGTGGGCTTTTTGTGTTGTTTATAACTGCACCGAGGTAAAACACTGCTGACATGGTGTAATGTTTGAAACATTGGACACTTTTGAAAGATAATCTGTACAGAGTCTAGAAACATTCCTTTTAATATTAAGTAATGTTACCGGGTGAATCCAGGAGCTGTAGTCCCAAAAAATGGTGTGTTTCTGAGTTCTCCCTCTGTGCTTGTCTTGAAGGGAAATCCTCGAGTGTAAATGTAAAGAAAGTGTCAGGCCATTTGTGCATCTGCAATAGGATAGTATGGACCAAGGGCCAATATGATTACTACTGGGATGTAAAGTATTTCTTGAAAGCTGTTGTATAATCTCACACAATTGTAAACTTTTTCATCAATAAATAATTTAATCTTTTGTGGTATAATCTGAATTTCATTTAACTCGAAGGGGTAGATAAAGATGGTCCTCTAAGGTGCAGTCACTATGGAATTTTCTGTTGGCAACATAAACCTAACCTCCTCCTGACTTTGCTGCTTCTAAACGTTTTCATTTTGAGTCATCTGTGCACAGAGTTGTTTGGTTGTTAGCTGGCTGCTCAGTGCATTGATGGACTATTAATTCTAACCCTTCTTCTTACCCATCCCCAGAGGAATTTATATTTTATAAAGGGACTGTGCCTTTTTACAAACAAGCAAAAACCAAGGTGCCAAGTGATCCATGGATTATCTCTTCATTTGGCACCCTACTGCTGTTCTTACTTTTTTAAAAAAATCAAAATTCCTCTATAAAACTGCTGTGTGGAGGAGAGCAGGAGCTTCGACAGTAGCAAGCCAATCTGTGCCAAGCAGGCTGGCTTTACAGGTAGAATGCTGTTTCCCACATGCTTAGTCCTGGAAGAGAACATTCAGTGGTGCCTCGCTAGACGATGATAATCCGCTCCACTGAAATTGCTGTTTAGCAAAATCATCATCTAGCGAAAAGCATCTCCCCAGTGGAATGCATTGAAACCTTTTTAATGCATTCCAATGGGAAAGAATCATCGTTGTCTAGTGAAGATCGGGCATAGGAAAGCTGCCTTGCAAACCGCTGATCAGCTGTTTAAATAGCTGTCTTGCAAAGCTTAGGTCCCGAAAACACCCATTTTGTGAGCAAGGAGGGGGCTGTCAAAATCGTTGTCTAGCGAAAATTGGTTTGCAAAGCAGGGACCAAACATTGTCCAGCGAAATTCCCCCATAGGAATCACTGTTGTGCAAATCGCTACAGCGATCGCAAAAAGTCAATGTCTAGCGAAAAAACTGTCATGCGGGGTAACTGTCTAGCAAGGCACCACTGTATACACTTCCAGAATGCAATATTTCCCTGTGCACTATAATGAAATCCTGCTAATTAATAACAGGTAAATTTGAACTTGTCCCTTTAATGTTACCTTGTTATTACAAGAAATATTGTAGCTCTAATGACACTTAGGAGCAAACCTAAAGAGTTGCCGAAAATGTCTGTAAAGGTTCATAATACCATGAGTTTCTGGAATGTTATTTCTCCAAAAATAAAATGTTTTATCATTTACGTTTTCTTCTTTTTTAATTAAAGAGAAATGTAATTAAAGAGAAATGTAAAATGACTGTCAGCTTAGAAATGTAACTTTTCTTTTGCAAAATATAGGAAACCCTTATTGCCCTCCTAACCCCACAATAAAGACACGAGGCAATAATATGGGTTAAATACGGGCCACACTTTGTTGATTTAAATTCAAATTCGAATTTGCCATCCTTTGGCAAAAAGGAGGTGACCTGCTGTAGTGCGGAAACAGGTAAATGGCAGAGGTATCCAAATACCCCTTGATCATCAAATGTGCAAGTCCCCGGCCCCAGGTTCCAGCGGTCTTAAAGACAGCAGGAACCTAGCCGGCTGCTAATAAACACCCCATACCTCAAGCCATCTTTAGTTGATGACTGTTGATCTGGAAGTGGCCCAGCGCATCTCTGCGTTACAGGCACTGTAATCTTCACCACTGTACACTTTGGAGTTGCACCTCCGGTATCAATTTTGTGCATTACTCCCTATGCTACCCCTGGTTTGAGAAGACCAGCTTGTATCTCATCAGCAAGGCTCTCACTTCTTTTAGTCTCTCTGGGGAAAGTAAGGGACTGATTTGGACATATTCCGGGTTATATTTGGGTTCGCCCCTCCCTACCCAATACAGTGGTGCCCTGCTTAACGGTTACCGCTTGAAGACGACTCTGCTTCAGGATAATGTTTTTGCGATTGCTATTGCGATTGCTATCGCTTTACGACGATGAGTTTCGTGCTTCAGGAACTGATTCTTTGCATTACAACGATCAAAATAGCTGATCATCAGGTTTTCAAAATGGCCACCGGCTGTTCAAAATGGCACCCTGCTGTGTTCAGGATGGTTTTTTTTTTTTTTTTTTTTTTTGCTGCACAGGCATCGGAAAATGGCCGCCCTATGGAGGATCTTCGCTGGACACTGAGGTATTTTGGCTGCTGGAACACATTGAACCGGTTTTCAATGCATTTCAATGGGCTTTTTTATTTCGTTTGATGAGGATTTCGCTCTACAGCGATTTCGCTGGAACGGATTATCCTCGTCAAGCGACGCACCACTGTAGTGTAATTCATATCTTTCATTGTCAGCTTCTTTCCTAGAAAATAGGACAACGTTTTCCCTTCTATAATATGGTTTTATCATGTTTACGTGAACCACTTTTTGCCCTGGTTCTCCCTCCTCCTGGGTTATATAATTGATTTCATTCATTTTGGAGATTATTCTGTACGGACCTGCCCAATTTAATTGCAACTTATTCCCTTTGATGGGTTTTAGCATCAGATCCTCATCTCTAGGGTTGAATGTTCTCTCTCTGGCCTTTCTGTCATACCTTAATTTTTGTTTCTGTTGCTGGCCCTGTAAATTATTTATGTGTTTGTATGTAAATCATATACAGAAAATCATAAATGGTCTTTTCTTCTTCATTTAATAAACATTACTTTGATTACATTTAAGTTTGATTATATAGATTCACTGTAAACAAGGTATTTATATATTCAAATATTTATTTATTTCTTAACATGTTTAACTCTGTCCAAACTTAACCACATAAACTTTCCAAGACTTGTCCTATTCTTATATCTTTCTCTATCTCTCTATTACTCTTCTCTCTAACACAACTCTGACCCTTACTGCCTAAACTGTCTCCTCACTAGTTCTAACCGATTATGTCTTTCTGTCCCCTTTTATTTTATTTTTTGGTTCTGCCCTCCTGTACGGTCATTGGTTATCCCATCAGTGTTCTATTGTGATGGACAGGCTAGGTATTCGGACTGTCCATCACACAATAGTATCCTCCCCTTATCTCTTCACAGGGATCTCAAGAAATCATCTGATGAGAGCAGTAGCAACATCCTTCAAGGTGCTCTTCAATCAGAACAGTGCAGGGCTTCTACATGAGGCTGAGAGTTCCATTCCCAGCTGTGCCTGCTTGACAGCACCTGGACTTGATCTATACAGTCCCATCCAGCTCTGCAGTTCTCAAATGATGATGATTTTGTCAGGATTTGTTCCTAACATGTGAGCAATGGGTTAAATTTAACATTGTTGGGTGAATGTAAAATGGATGACAAATGCAAAGTCATGCCTGTAAGAGTCAATGTAAAATGGATGACTGATGACATGAAGCTGGAACAAGATTAGGTAGTGCTGGTTAACTACGTTCAGCTGCTTTGTGTATAGTGATAGGCCGCTCTTACTATATAAGCAAAAGAGTAAGAACAGCACATTGCCATACAGTAGTGAGTCTGGTGGCCTTTACTTCTTTGAAGGTCTATGTTGCTCTAAGAGATTTATGCACAAGCTATGTATATAATGCCATGTATATATGTCTGATCTATGCTGAAAAATAATATATGAAGTCTGAATATATTATGTCCTAAGTCTTTATCAAACTCTGTTGGTGTTTTTCCTAAACTGTCTGTGTCTTTTACTCTGCTTATGAATTTGAAGCTGCCTGATAAGGGACTCTGTTTAACCTGTTATGTTAGGCCCAAGATTTGTCTTCATCAACAGAGTGCTTGTGGAGTTTCAGTATCCAAATGCTGACTCCAAATTTCTAAAGGGGCAAACACCACATCTGTTTTTTTGGAGTTGGCACCTCGCCAACAGATTTTAGCCATCCTCCTTTTTGGGATACCGCCAGCAACATGCTTGTGCACCCGACAATGCATCCCTGTCAAAGCCCAGGCTTACAGATGATATGCAGAGATGACCTGGGTGTTTGACATGATGATTCTCAAACAACTTCTCTGCTCCAGAGCTTGTACTGCTTCCAGGCTTATTGAGAAGCTTTGAGCTATGAGGCTAGCTAGGAGATGGGTAAAGAGCAGGTGGAAGGCAGGATCAGAGATGTGTACTGAGGAGGGTGAAGGCCGGGTTCTTGCCAGAAGTCTAATCAGTTCCAGGACATTCAGAGAATGGCTCTGTGCTGGCACGAGATCTTTATGTATGAGTCAAAGATCACAAAGAAGACCAAGATGTTTTGTTAGAGGAAGCCATTTCCTCCATAAAGCAGATGGTAAAATTTCAATTACAATCTATGTAAACATTTTTTCTTAATTTGCAGAATTTATTAATCTGTCATTATTGACAGAGTTGCAGTATACCAGGTGACACCAACAAATAGAGTTTCCCAGACTTATGAAGTTACCAGGCAAGGAAACAGTACTGATAGCAGAAATTATTGTATTGAATTAAGTTCATTGCAGGAAATATACATACACATACAGCTTTGTCCTTGTTTCCAGTCCAGTGGTCAAACACCGCAGTTCCAATAGAGTTCAGGCATAAATCAGATCAGAGTCCTTGTAAATCAATTCAGCAATCAGAGTCCATATAATTCAGTCCAGCAGTCAGAGTCCTTCTCCAAGATTCTTCCACAATGATACAGCACCTTTTACCACGACGACCACATCACCATGACACCACAGAGTGTGTGTGCTGGGTCTGCTTGCTTTATCCCAGGGTTAGCCAATCCTAGGTTTTCTTTCTCAGCTGATACAAGTCTTGTATTACCCCAGCTGCATAAATTCTTATTTGGCTTATTTTCTTAGTGTGGATTCTTACAATTACTTACAGTGTTTTTGCTCTTTTACAACTGCTTAGTACAAAACTGTATTAACAATTCCTCCAGGTTTATGTCAAACCTGTCAAACTCCTCCAATTGCTTAATGCAGTTTTGTTTACATATATTCTTCACTTAAATTGTTTACAATATTTTACATTTCAGATTATTTACATGCATATTGGATGATAGTTTCTGGAGGCAAATTAATCTTATTCTAGTAAGCATGCTCATTAAATGATGCACTGCTGCTAAGGATTACTTTGTGTTAAGTAAACCAAATCTATATGCTTTTCTATTTTGCTGGTAACCCAAGAAATACATTAGTTTCGCCTTCCTATCACCTTTCCTTCTTGTCTCTTTAGGGATATGCACCGATGCTGGTGACCCAAATATAAGCAGAAATTTTAAATTTGTTTTTTTCCCAGTCCAGATTGTATGAGGTATATTATTTATGCCACTATGCCAAAGTATATTTAAATTAAAATTTGCACAAAGAATAGCTTTTCCCAAAATTTATCAGATAGTTTACTACCTTTTATCATAGCCTCTGCCATATTTTGAAGTGTTTGACCTCTTCTCTCTATTAAGGCATTTTGTGTTGGGGTATATGGTGCTGACTTTCTTTGAATAATCCCATGCTTGTTCAAAATTGACTGGAACTTTGCAATTGTAAATTCTATTCCATTATCAGTCTGAATTTGCTTAACATTCCTTCCTGTTTTTCTTTCTACAAACCTCAACCACTTTTTAAATTCTATGTGTGTTGAGCTCTTATCCTTCATTAAATAGCAGAAACCAAATCTAGATTTCTGGTCTTGTATTGAAAGGATATACTTTGCTCCTCCTAAGGATGCTTGTTTTGGTCCAATTAGATCCATAGATACTAGGTCTAGAATATTCTCAACTTGTTCCAGTTCCAGTTAGGCATTCTTCAGTCTCGAAAGACTATGGTGACGTGCTCTGTATGGAGGACTTGGAACAGCGTCTAGTGTGGCTGAAGAGGCCAATTCGAGAGTGACAATCTCTTCCACACTGAAGACAAATCCAATCTGTCCCCTGTCCAGCTCCCTGGTTTTGCTGCTTTTGTGACTTCCTCTTTGCCTCGGCCTGCTGGACAAGGGTCTCTTCAAATTGGGAGAGGCTGTGATGCACTGCCTGCCTCCAGGCTGAACGGTCAGATGTCAGGGTTTCCCATCTGTTGAGGTCTATTCCTAAGGCCTTCAGATCCCGCTTGCAGATATCCTTGTATTACCCCAGCTGCATAAATTCTTATTTGGCTTATTTTCTTAGCGTGGATTCTTACAATTACTTACAGTGTTTTTGCTCTTTTACAACTGCTTAGTACAAAACTCTATTAACAATTCCTCCAGGTTTATGTCAAATCTGTCAATTACAAATTTTAAAAACACAGTATTTCATAAGGAGGTAAGATTAGCTTTATTTGTATGACAAATGTGGCTGAAAAGAAACGATCTTCAAAATTTTATTATACATAAACATATTTGTGTTTTAGGCTCTCCAAATCAACATCTCCAAAAACAAACTTTATGTTTTTTGCAGCATGTTCTTCATTTGATGCTCCATGAACAGCATTGTGCAGAATATCTTTTGCAAATTTAGCACGCAGTGAATCAGGATTAATTTCTCTTGCTTTTTCTGGATCTGATGGTCCCATTAATTGTCGCCACTCCTCCACAGCATTTTCTTTGGTTAGGATCATTACCATTGATGGACCACTGGAAAACCAAGGCATAGTACATATGATATTCCAACTCCACAGCTGTGAGACTAAAATCATGTGCATTAACATTCTGAACGAGAGAAACAATCCATATAAATCTGCTCTCCATTACAATAAACAACTCTATGAATAAAACAGATAATCTTGTGAACAAGTTATATTGGGTACTTAGGAGAATCATTGTTTTTAGCCCAGTACTATCCAGTGCCTTACTATATCTAGTCTACCACTTCCCATTTGTAAAAAAGTCTTGCCTTATGTCATTACATTGCACCTGTTACAAGAAATGGGTGGGCCTTTATTTTTACATGTGTAAGCAAAATAAAGGAGCAAGCAGACTTTGAAACGAAAGGAAATGCTTTGCTCCGGAACTTCTTCCACAGAGAACTCAACACAAGCACTTTTCCTCTGTTCAGGACCTAACTACAAGCTGCCATCCATAGATTCTTCAGTTCAAAGTGTCTGTAACACCTGTTGCCACCATCCTGACCCTCACACAAGGTTCTCCTGTTTTTTTCAAGGGATTGCTGAGATCCCACAAGCTTCAAAATGGGTGTGCCTTTATTTTTACATGTGTAAGCAAAATAAAGGAGCAAGCAGACTTTGAAAATGAAAAGAAATGCTTTGCTCCTGAACTTCTTCCACAGAGAACTCAACACTTTTCCTCTGTTCAGGACCTAACTAC